CTTCAGGAAAGGGAGAGCTCTCAGGTGTCCCCAACCTTGCATGTTGAGCCCAGGACAAGACCCCACGTTGCAGACACTGAAACTGCTTTAGAGATGCAGGTACCCAAGAAGGGACATTTGAAAGAAAGCAGGACTTTTGAAAACTGCCTGGCAGACAGCAGTTCAAAGGAACTCATCCAAATAGAATTGCCTTTATGGAAATTTCCAATTTTGACAAATTGGTAAATGATGATGAGAAACCTTTTCATCCAACTTCTCTGACCACCTGCATCTTACTTAACCTGTGATTGATATAGACTTTAGCCATCTCAAATTCTCTGCCAGGCAGCCTACATCAGCTGAGCCAGTTCTTCTACTGAGGAATGAGTATCATCAGGACTTCAGGCCACCAAAATGGGTATCCCAGCGAAAGCATTGGTATAATGCAATGGGCAAAGGCGCTAATATCAATTCTAAATTCTGAACTCCAAATTTTTGGTTAGTCAATGATGCGAACATTTTCAAGTGTGGATACTTAATGTTGGACAGCTGTAGTCAGATATGGTAAACACCCCTATTCCATATTACTTACACTTCCTTAAGCCCTTCTGGCTCAGCTTCTCAAATATAGAAAAATGAAAATAATAAAATTCTTATCTTCAGAGAGAGGTTATTATAATTAATGTTTGTAAATTCTTAAATGTCATTAAAGCACACAGTAAACTTTTCAGCTAAGATAAGGATCTATCAATCTTCTGAAATTTGGTGTATTTATTGCTTTTTCTTACTTTTTGATTTTTTTAGTATTGAATGGGATAAAGTACTATATACAGAATGTGATACGACAGTTGATGTAAGGAAAGGGAATCAAAAGAAATCAGTGCTTGAGAACCTCATGAACCATGATCTTAATTGGTTTTGCTTTTACTACTTTCATAGGGTGTTTTTCTTCCTCTCTTTATTCCTAATTTTCCTGACATTTTTTTCATCATTTTATCTTTGGCTTCCGTATTCTGAGAAATTGGCCTAAGCTAAGTCAGCTAAGGCTTCTCTTTTAACATTTTTGACTAAGGCAAGTTAGAAATGGTGTTATAATAGTATTTCTTGAATTTCAGAGCATTTCATGTGATGATTGCGTCTACATGTCATCTTCAAGATTTTTTCCCCTAAAAGAAGCATGAGAAATAGAAACTATATCCTTACTCTTTCCTGTTCGTATTTGTTTAACCTTCAAAAGCAGTGATTCAGAATAACTTAAAAGCTTGCAAATAGAAATGAATCAGCCCCCACTCATCCCAACAGAGGGTTCTTTAAAAACTAGACTTTTTCAAAAGCACTAGGCTTTCATTGATTTAAGCTGTTTTGAAAGTCAGGCCTTTTGGATACATGTTTACATGTCAATTGAAGAAAAAGATTTTTATAATTCAAGTGGAAAAAACTTGTCCTTAATTTTCCTCAAAAGAACAGACTCTAGATTGTTCATGAACACATGTTGCATTGAACATTTTTTAGCTGAGTACATTCCTTTGGCTTTTCCACAAATACTGATTATCCAGAACTGTTTGATTCTCCAGTGGGTTAAGTGTGATAACTTGTGTTGTTCTTGACAGAACGTGAGTTATAAAAAGACTGTAACTGTGGTGCCTGCTGGGTGAATTCTGATTAGAGAGTCCATCTAAAACTGTTCTTTGTGCCTCTGCATTGTTTTCAGTGAGTTACTAAAGGGGCAAAGCAGTATGTTTTAATGCAGACTTTATTTGACAAGCATGTATTCTTTCAAAGCAGTAACTGTAATATTTGTTCTAAAAAAGGAGGATTTTTTTTTTTTCTTTTCGTAGACACTGATTCTGAAACCTTGGGTTCAAATCTGTAATTCAGAGTTTTTATTGTAACACTAAGTAACAAAGAAGAAACGTGTACACGGTTTAGGCTGCTAACACTAACAGATGGTAACAGGAATAATTCAAAATTTATTATACTTCAGCTTCTTTTGTCTTTAAGGACCAGTTTCTTTTTTTGTAGGGTATGAACAGAAGTTTATAAAATATGCAGCATTTTGAGAGAAAATAGGAGGCAGAAATAAAAATCTGCCAGTTCATAGCCGTTGTACTTTTCTCTTTTTTTTTTTCACTGCCTTCCTTTGTTCTCTTATCCTTCTTTTTTCTTCAGTCTTAGAATTTCTTGTAACTTTTCAGCTTCTCTTATCCTTTCATACCCTTTTGCAAGACATTCTGTCTGCTCCCTTCACTGTGCCATGGCGTGGCTCTCGCCTGAGGAGAAGCAGCCTGGTGGAGTGGCAGCTGTCAAGATGAATCATCAACTTGGGGGAGAGCAACTGGTTTCATTGAAATTCACTGCTGTCACCATTGCCTGGAGCTGCACTGGTTTAAGGCTGTTTTGGCAAATAAATAAATAAATAAATAAGTAAATAAAGGTGCATGATTACTTCGCATCCATTCCCATTCCTGAGGCTATCAGGGATGAATTTTCCCTAGGACTTTTTATATACATTGAAGTGCTTATCTTAATTATATCATCCTTAAATGAAGCTCTTGCAGTTGAGGATCTGTGGATAGCAAGCCTCCTCTTCTTCCCATCCATATCCTCTCCAATACCCAAGTTGTGATCCTTCACTCCAAGGATTTGAAATGATTAATGTACACTACCAAGGGGAATCTACAGACTGTTGTAGTATCATTCAGTAATATATAGTGTTCAGTTTGTTTGTTTTCAGCTCTGTCTTCTCTGCTCATTTCTGATGGGAGGATGGATCCTGAAACATGTAGAAATAATAAGATAGAATATGGGATGATTTTGAAATTAAAACTTAAAATACAAGGCAAGCCTGAAGATTCCATGTCCTGTAGTTTACTATATGTGAATTGCAGTCATTCCCATGTGTCAAATAACATGTCAGGTGCAAACAACTGACAGCAGTAGGGTGAAGTTACAAGAGGACCGTGCTTCCAACCATTTGAGGGGTGCATGTGCAGATTAAGGTTTGCCAAGTGACTTTGTTGGCTACAGTAGGGTTCCATCAGATTATTATTGTTATTTATACCAGTATAATTGAAATTAGCCTTCATTCCCTGCTGTGGGGATACTTGACTGTCAGTCATATTTTTGTAACAACAGTGTTTTTCATGGAATTGTAATTAAGATTTTGTGTTAATAGCCTGTCGTTAATATCACAGGCCAAATTTCACAGTCCCTGCAGCCCTGTTTTACCCCCTGAAGAGTAGCTCTCCTGTCACTTTTCCATTTCATGTCAGCTGTGCCAGGTATCCATTTGGAGAGAATAATTTCTGGAAAGTCTCCCACAAGCAATTTCAGTCACTGGTTTTCTGGACTGCACCTGTGGTTTCTGTATGATATTTCAGCCAGACCCATACTTATCCTTGTTGAATACTAAGAACAGTGCAGACTCAGCTCCTCTTGTTGTCCACTGACTTAAAATTAATTTGTAACATGTTTGGAGTAGAAATCAACTCAGCTTGTGTATGGATGCTGCATATGGGATTACTGAAGTCTCTATCACACAAATGAACATCTCCCTGGACGTGGAGGGGAAGTGCAATTGTGAACTTTGTGTGACACATAATAAGAGTCAGTCTTTAGCTATTGGCTTAAAAGCAGAGATGATCCTGGAAAGATTTTTTTTTTAATAGGAAAGGCTTTATGAAGTCCTTTATTCTAATAAGCACATCTAGTGTTTGGATGGAGAAGGAAATTCAAGTTTCCTTAAAGTTGAGAGTGCAGGAATGTGCCTCCCACATGCTCCAGGTTTCTCAAAGTACTCTATTACCCCATCTCTGCTTTAGGTGCAGCTGCATCCCATTCAAAATTAACTGCTGTCCATGCAGCCGCTCACGGAATAGCCTTGCTTTTGCCTGGTGGCTGTTAGAGCATCTGCTACCATGGGTGAGCACTTTTGATTTCTCACAATAGAGGGCAGTGATTATACTGTTGTCCTCGATACAACGAAAAGAAAAATCTGCCTGTGCTACCTATTTGTGAACAGGTAGCTCTTAGGAATATAGAAATTATTAGCTATCAATATTAAATAATGATTAAATGTGGAAATCATGATATAGCAGCAGGATCACTCATATAACAGGCAGCTGTATTTTTAGGAATGGGAAATTCTGGGGTAAGTCAGCTTGTAGCTTGCAGCTACTTGTATTCGAATTTTTATTTTCCAGCCACCAACTGGCTTGAAGGCAGAGAATTCCTCTTGAATGCAGAAAGTAGGTGGCAACCGCTGTAAGAAATTTCCTGTGAGTGTGTTCTATCCCTCTTAGTGAATATCATTCCATTCTGAGCGTAATTGAAAACTGAAGATAGAAAACTGAGCAATTATTTGTCCTTGCAGTACAATATATAATATTCTGATTTCATGGCTGTCTGACTACAATGATTAGGAAGAACATTTTCTTACAGTATTTACAGTACCATAGCAATGTATCAGGAACACTGTGTATCAAGAGAAGGAACTATCATGTTAAAATATGCTCCACTTAAAAACATACCTAATTAAAAAGTAGGATGCTGTTGAATGTTACATTTGGTGTAGTTAATAATTGCTTTGTAAGCCTTTTCATGTCTTTAGCTTTGAAAAAGCTATTCAGGATGAAGAAAACAGCCTTGAACTGGAAAGTCTACAGTGGAAATGATCTGCAACAACGGAGAGAACCTCTGCAACAAAGGCATTTGGTGTTTAGAACTGTACTACTGTATTAAGTCCAGAACAGCGTGGTTATATTTTCTGGAGAAATGCGAAATATGTGTGCAGTTGCTGATGGTTGTGTGGTCCTTTAACTGAAGCAAACTGCTCAGTGGGACAAACTCATATCTGGTAATCTCTGTGGAAGTGGGGTAGAGACCCTCAGTACTGGGGAGGATACTGGTTAGGAGAAGTAAATAAGACAGAAAATTGTTTAAAACGTCCCATAGTTTTGCATAGACAGCTTAAAGAAGTACTATAAATTTAACGTATTTGCTTCTTTTTCTTTTTATATCAGATAGTATTACTGAAGTCTTCACTAACATCTATGTAACCAGTTTTGGACCAGTGTCAGATACTGATATGGTGAGTTTCTGAATCTTTTTCACATATGTTAAATGATGTAAGATATATACTGTTAACTTCATGTAAACTTGTATTCTACTTTTACTTACTGGGCACATGTTGGGAATAATTTCACTGAAGTCAGGAAGTGCCAAATCCCAGTAGTTCTAGAGATGGAATTTGGTCTTCATGATAAGTACCTTGTGTTAGCTGTTTATTTTGCTCTGGTGAATCTTCTGGTTGACCCCACTGACTACACTGTCAGTTATATTCTGGATCAATCTTGAGATGGGTGAACTGGATTCCTCTTGGATGAAACTAGAGCGGAAGATGCACTGTAGAAGCATATTTAATGTTGCCATCAGAGTGAGGGATCTGACTGGATTCAGTCTAAACTGAACTTCTAGAAAGATGTGGCTTGGGAGCTGGGTCGCCAGCATGTTTCTGTTATTCTTTATAGTTTGCACAACTTAAAGGAAGTTAGTGACATTAAATAAAGACAGAAACTGTCAGAATACTGCTTTGGATTACAGTTTTTCATGGAAACAGAAAAAACTCTTAGGGTTCTTCTGTAGTCTCACTGCAAATTGTACACAGATTAAGGAGAACGTGTCACACTGGAGAGAAAGCTCTTCATGGGTGTAACATCTCTAAAATGAAAGAAGGGAAGGACAATCTGAGAGTTACTTTAGCTGCTCTTGCCGTTTCTGCAAGAAATTATTTCCTACATGAAATTATTTTTTTAAGTGTTTTCAATGTTCATGATTATATATGAGACATATAAAATGCTACTTATGTGTATATATAGGTATTAAAAATTGAGTAATTCTAAAATTGGACAAATACGGTAACTTTCAGGTTACACATCATACAAACCAGTAAACATCTTGATGTTACCATTTAGGCTGAAACATAACTAAATATTTCATGGTACAGTGTATATTTTAGAAGTTATTTTCCCACTGATTAACAGGTAGTCATAGCTTTGGAAAATATATCCTGGAGTTTTGTGTTTGGGTTTTGTGTTTGATAGTTTCAGTTTTCAAACTTTGTTTTGATTCTGATGAATACATTACGGAGGCCTCATATGAAAAGTCATTTCACAGGATAAATAGACATTTATTTTCTTTTTGTCACTATAAATGTTACTGATTCTCTTATGGTCTTGTTTCATAATGAAGTTAAGTTTCCAAAATTATTCTTGTTTTATTACTAAGTATAAAAAACAAGTATCCGCAGCTATATACAAAGGTGGTATGAACATCTTGACCTTGTTAGTCTGGTATCTCATGACTTCACAGTGGTCACACTTACAGTATTCCCATGGAATGGAGAGATGATATTAACCCAGTGTTAAAGATCTGGTACTGAGGCACAAGTACTGAGACTTAGTCAAGGCTGAGCAGGTCATCTATTCTTAAATGGGAATTTAATGAAAAGTTCCCTAAGCATAATCCCTGGATCCTGAAACACTTTTGGTATCAGCGTGTAAATGTGTCGAGAACTCTGGGTGTTCATTTGCACAAACAGATTCCACCACACAGTAAGGGATCAGGTTGGTTGGTGCTACAGATCTAGCAGCTCTGTGCAGGGGTGTTAATCGAAACAGAGTGACAGCTGTTACTGTAATGGGTAGGTCTGTTTACAGATAAGTAGATAGGTAAGTAAGAGCCATTTGACTTCCAAGTTTCAGGGTTAATTTAGCTTGTTCAGTTGATAATTAAAAAATCATTTTGAAATGTATGAGCAGTCAATTAGAAAATTTCAACTTGTGAGTTTGGACATAATAGCTTCCAGACTATTATATATACCTTCAAACATGAAGGTGACATTAGGGTTTTTACTATGAATACTTTTTCATTTAAGTATTACATTACTGAATTGATAATGTAAGCTACTATATAGAGGGTTAACTGGTAGTTTCTTCTGTAAATGTTGGAAGCTCTGGAATAGTCTCATTTTATAAGCTTCCTTCATAAAAGGCTTGGAAGAATAAGTTTGACTCTTGCCCATGACCTCCTAAATCTCCTAAATACTCCAGAGGATCCTAAACTGAATCTTGGATCTTTTCAGGTCCCAGCCCTTGAGGTTCTCTGCATTCACGGTATGAATGGAGAGGCCCTCAGTCGCATCATGTTTTTAGGCTGGATACTTCTGTTGCCCAAAACTCTCATAGTCATTGCTGCCAGTAGGATTCTTTCCTCTGTCATTTTTCAGATCAACAAGTCAGCAGATGGATGACTGTGTCACTTTGCGTTATCTCTTTGCCAGTTTGCTTTTTTTCCCCTCGGTTAGCATCTTGTGAAGAATAACAGTGCTTAGGGGAAAAGCGTGTTGAAAATGGGAAGGGGCTCAGTACCATGGGAGATGTTTAATATGTGTTTAGAGTATTGGAGAGGGAGGTGGCACACTGAAAATGATAGGTGGACAACACAGTTGTCGCATGGCAGTGTTGATTCACAAAGTTGATAAAATGTCATTCTAATCTTTGTTGTTGAATTCATAGCAATTAGTGAGGTTTCTGTGCAGTAATTCCCATTAATGACAATATAGTATCATGTGCAGTCTGTGACTCAGTATGATTGCAAGAATGCAGGTTTCTATTCATATTCCCTGTATTTTTTCCAGTATCCCAATTTTGCCAAAAAAATAATTAAATCCAGGGAGATTTCTTTGATTTTAGGCTGGCTGAAGTTGTCATTGATAAATTTAGGAGGTAAAAGCTGAGGTTGAGTTTTTTTCTCCAAATGTGTTAAGAGTCAAATATTTAATTTTGGGTTTAATATTTGGCTAAGCTAAAAAGATGTTACTCTCTGTTCCGCTTCAAAAGAGTCAGCTACCAAATCTATTGAGTCTTGGACAGAATTCTGTAACAAACTGTCCTTAAAATGAACTGCTGTTCATTTAGTTCACAGTCTAAAATATTGGTGTTTCTGTATTAGCTGTGTCATAAAAATGCTATTGTATGTCAACCACCACATTTACCGTCAAAGGAAATGCCAGTACACAACAGGAATTTTCAACTTTGTTTTGCAAATTAATGAGAATCAAGTAAGGCAAACCAAAACATGGGATTAAACAGATTTTGCTTTTACTTTTCCGTCTTTTTGAGTTGTTATTTCTCTGAAATGTTTAAATTCAGTATTGTGATGCTATGCCTCATAGGCTTCCAACCAGATCCAACCAGTGATAAAAATTTATTTTGAAGTTAGCCTTAGAGAAGAGCTACATTGTTTAGAAAAACAAACAAACTGAAATTTGAACAGAACAATTGAAAAACTAAGCATATCTGAGTTAGAAGAGTAAATGTTGATTAAAGAGGCTAATTAAAAAATTTGTAATTAACTTTAAATATTTATTATAGGAAATTCTGAGGTGAAGAATAATTTTAGTTGGGTTATGATTTGTAGGATAACAAGTTGAAAATAATTTATTTAAACATTATAACTAATTATTGTCCTGTTGGGTTTTTTTAGTTAATTATTTGAAATCTGGTAGAATGATGTCTATTTACATATGCCGATAATTCTGATGTTAGCACTGCAAGCAAGATACTTTACAGCTTATCCTGAGGCTTGCTTTCTTACCAGGGCCTTCTGACACTGGCTTCTAAAATTTCCTTCTAAAATGTAATAGACTTAAGTGCTGATGTCCTTGATAGAAAAAAAAAAAGTAACATATTTACTCCTCAAGCAATAGTTATTGCATCATCCAGGACTGAACATAGGCATTAAAAGCCTCTATATGAGGTCTACTGTGAAGGAAGCCTTGCAAGATTTTGCCAAATTTTGCCTCAGAGCAGTCTGCTGCAGCAGGACTGTAGCAGTCCTACAACAGGTGACAGGACCTGAATCAGTTTTGATTGAATATTAAAACTAGTAACCTTTCTAAAAGTTTTGAGTTTCAACTTTCAACCTTAGCTTTTTCATTGCCTTTGGGGAGTTCTGGTTACTGTGGTTACATCTTTGTTTTTCCCTGTATGTTTGTATGCAAAATTTTTTCCTAGTTTCTTGATGGTAAACCTCTGTTTTTTACTCTTGAGTTAAGAAATATGAACATTCTCTGTAGAGACAGCCATGCCCAGCTAGTTCATCACTACACGCACTTCTGCCTTCTTAGTTTTCAATTAACCTTTCAATGAGTGTTTCTGATATTTCAAATATAGCTACAACAGAAATTTTTAATGAAGGCTGTAGGTCAAATACAGAAATGACCTAAAGGATTGTTACAGCATCTCTCACTAAAACTGAGGATGGCTCTTTAGAGACAGTTGCTGAACTGGGAACTGCATTTCTTTTTTTTTGTGTGTGTCCTTTTTCCAAATTCCTTCATTCCATTGTAGATTTTTTTTTCCTACAAAACTTATTTTTTAACTGTTTCAAAGTCTAATTATTAGCTATGATTCCTTAGCTGGAGAAGAGCTTTGAAGGGGTTGTATGATAGGTAAGTTAGGAAGAATAAGGGAATGCACCAAGGTAATTTTTTCCCCCACAAAGATTAAAAGCATTGCAATAATCTTACTGTAGCTTTTATTTTAACAGAAGACTAAAGTGTAACAGGCAAAAAGAAATTATAGATACATTTGGCTTTCTTGGATGTTGGAGAGCATATAGGTTGTCTTTCTATCATTCATACGTTTCTGAAAAGTCAATACATTGGTTGCACTGTTCCCTTTTAGTCTCAGGTCATTGCCTTTGGAAGTTAAATGCAGAGGCTGAAATTTTGATGAGGATATCTCGTGTGATCTCTTGCAGAATTTCTGTCCTTTTATTCTGTTGGGATGGCTTGTTCCGCTGTGCAGCATCCTGCCAAGTGGGTCAGTATTGGAAATTGATTTGTCAGGGGCTGTATCCAAGCCCTTTGCTGACATTAGCTGTCCCTGGCACCAGGCGTCCATTGTGTTTCTGGGTTGTTCGTCAAGTCTGAATTAAAAAGGGTAATGAGAAGTGTTTATATTTTCAGTGACAGCACTGTGAATGATATCCTGCAGTCTCTTTTCTAAGTAATTCCTATCTGTGTCT